TTGAGAACTCCAATTCAGATATAATTAAATAGCATAGAAACTATCCTAAAGTTTATAAATCACATTTCAGCATTTACTCAGAGTACTCAAAGAATAAAAATGAATTTACTCATATATAAACCCATATTCTTTATATAGTATTTATCTATAGTCATTAATATTTATGTGTGTATACATAAAATTTAGCCACTTAATCTCATTCATAGTACCTGTTCAGTATCCTACATCATTTGATTAAAAAACTGCTTAAAAAGCAATATGGTATAAGGAGTATAAAATGTACTGAAGTTCTGTCAAATAAAACTGGTATAGGTTTATGTCTCTAAAACATGTAGATAGAAATTAATGGCAAATTTTGTCAATGATGTCTACGTTTGAAATGTCAGCAATTGAAATAACTGATTCTATTGCCACATAATACTAGTAAATATCTTAAAGGAACCTATCTTGTTATTCTGAGGACCTTATAATCTAAATTCATTACTGCTTCATCCTGAAGAACATACACTTACATTTTTAGATGGTTGGGGAAATAGCTTTTAATGTTTTCCACTGAATCCCATGGTTTGGATCTCCAGAGTGTATCATAGCTTTAGAATATGTGCTGTTTGAAGATTCAGTCATATCAGATGGTATTCTGATAATGTATTATTCATGACTCATTTACGGACAACCATGTGGCAACATGAAAGCAAAACATTACAAAGCCACATGTATCAGAGAACCCTTTTGCAGAAAAATAACAGTTGAGGGCAATTAAGTTTAAAATAGGTGAAAAAATAATTTTAGGAGAATTTTTCTTTACTCTCGTGTTCTAGATAGTAAACTCCTTTAGGATAAAAACAGAACCTAATCCAAATTCTATAAAGTTCTAATATGTAACACAGCATAGTTTCTCAGCATATTAAAGACTACTTAGCATTTCACTTATTTATATTATAATTAAAATTTTATTTCATAGTGTGATCTCTTAATCTTTGATTACACTTTGATTACAAATTCATATTTATAATTTAGTAAGCAGAAAACTAGAAATACATGATAATTTGATAGGTTTTATAAGGGTAAGAGAAGAAGTATAAAAATTATTTGCTACTGCTTAAAACTATGTACTTTAGGAAGAAACTTTTAAATTCTTCATCAAATCATGTTGAGATAGGAGCATGTATAGAGGGGGAACCTGTGTTATATTCTAATCTCGTTTTTCTCTTGCTATTTCATCAAAGCAAATGCAATATTGTACTTCTCAATTAAAGATGGAAGCTCCCAGAAAGTCATTTTGGATTTAATATACTACAGTCCCCCCGATTCACAGAGGTTACATTCCAGGATCCCCAGTGGATACCCTGAAACCACGGGTGGTACCAAACATTATATGTACAAAGTTTTATTTTCCTTAACACACTAAAGTTTAATTTGTAAATTAGGAATAGCAAGAAATTAACAATGACAGTCGATAATAAAATAGGATAATTATAACAATATACCAGAACAAAGTTTTATGAGTATGGTCTCCTTTCTCTCAAAATACCTCATCGTGCTGAACCATCATACTTTCTCCGCTTGTGATTCTGCACACTAACCTGATGCCCCTGTGTTGAGATGAAGTGAGGTGAAGGGGGGACACTGTGACAGCATCAGGCCACTGCACAAGGGTCACCTGAGCATAGCCTTGTGATGATATGTCTCTCGGGTAATGGGGAGAGCAACTGAGCGGCTAATGGGAGGGCAGCATGCCACACACATCTACTGAACAAAGGGATAACTCACGTTCTGGAAAGTACAGAGCAGGAATAGTGAGATTTTTAACATGCCACTCAAAATGGTGCAAAATTTAAAACTTATGAATTATTTATTTCTGGAATTTTCTGGGTAATTTTTGATTACAGTTAACCACAGGTAGCTGAAAATGTAGAAAATTAAGCTACAGATAAGAGGGACTGTTATAACTACTTTTTTCAGGCTATATGAGAGCTACCTTGAAAAATTTTAATTGTGGAGTAATACAGCTTTTGCTTAATCTAGCTGTGCTTTTTAAAAACAGCAAATAAATCCCTATATTCTCATCATAAATCTCTTCAAGTTATATGCCATCAGCTCATTGAAGTTGAAAAAGTTAAGAACATACTATCCCACAAAATGCCACTTGGGCATACTGAATATTTAAGTTAAAGACACTTAAAAAACAGTAGGTACAAAAGTCACTCTGCAGTTTCTTGAAAATAGGAGATGAAATTCTCATATACAAAAGGCAACATCCTTATGCCCAAGGCTGAGAAATCTAGACTGCAAGTGTTCTGTACTGAGCTGGTTAAAGTAATTCTTCTCTTTTAAGCTATCCTACATAATTCAGTTGCTTCTTCATGATTCAATACTTTTTGTCCAACCCTGTATACACTGAATTGACTCAAGTGCTTCTTGGGGCTTCATTTCTTTATAGTGGCTCTTGTGCAGTGTGCACTTTTTATTGTTTTCCTCCTGGTGATCTGTGTTATGTCAGCTTACTTCTCAGGCCTATCTTGGTTCCACAGAAGATGGAAGTGGAGAGTTGCCCCTCCTGCTGAGTGCTCCCTGTCCTCAAGGTGCCTGTGGCACTTCTTTAAACTCTCTTCTTCCCCTTGGCACCTAGCTCCTATTTGTTTATTGTGTCTCAGCTTCTCTAAAAAGTCCTTCTCCTAAATGTGTTCTGCTCTGCTCTCCTGTGTGCTCCCATAAAGCATCAAATATACAAAATATTCACAGAGCACCTCTTATGTGCAAAGTACCACCATTAAGTGTCAAACAAGCAGAGTTGACTCCAGCTTCAGGGGCTGTACAGTCCAGCTGGGAAGAAGACTTCAAGCAATTAGAAATGATTAAGGAAATGATCGTAAGTATTCACCATGTCCTAAAGGAGAAATAAGGGGAGATATGGAAATACGGAGTAGCAGCACCTAGCCAAGACTAATAGTTAAAGAAAATTAGGAAAACTGTGTCATATGTGGTCTACGCAAAGAGAAGGACAAACAGGATTCTAGGCAGAAGGGCAAACATGAATAAACACCTTGAGGTAGGTGAGAGGAGGGAATACATCACATTTTAGAAACAGGAAGAAAGGCTCTGCCCAATGCGAGTCCTGCAGCCGGTGTATTTACTCAGGACTCCCCAGTAGGCAGGCCCCATCTCCATCAAGGTTTTTTTGGCAGATCACACCCTCTTCCCCCACTCTGAGGCTCTCTCTGGACTTGGGTCTTATTGAGTTTGAGATGGGATTATTTCTTTTGAGCCTCAATGACTGAACAGTATATTATAGATACTACCAATTAACAACAAATGTGACTCACATAATTGCATTCCTAGCTTTGAATAATTTAAAAGCAGAAAGGCTAGGAAAATCGAAACACAGTAGTGAAGATTTACAATTTTTTTTCCTAAGAAACTCAAAATCAGCTGCATCTGGATAAACGTATAACTTTCCATTGGCTGTTTTCTGTTTGTATTAAACAAATATTTAATTGTAGCAATTTATTGCTGAAAATGGCACTGCGCATTTCATATATTCAGCAAAGGTAGAACGGAGACGAGAAATGTTTACTCGATTACTTTTGTTGAGTTTGCACATTAAACTACTTGCCAATTATGACAGTTAACAAGGATTTTCTTCAAAGGAAGAAAAAGATTTTACTACTTCAACTACTTCAACTTGGAAAATATATGCTAGAGTAAATCTCTGATACACTGTATTGCTAAGAAGGACATTTTGGTTAGAATTGCATAATGCCTATCGCATCCCTCCAAATGTGTATTAGCTATGAGGTTTGAATATGTGAGCCATGTGGATGCATCCCATTGCTCATACTATTCTAAGAAACTCAGAATACTCTCATCCTCCTCTGCCAAATAAAGGAGAGGCTTCATGGCTAGAGGATGGGAGTTGAGTTTAATGATGGTGAAAGTGATGCCATATCCCCCCCCACCCCCACCATGCCTTAATCCCCTAACTGTGCTGATGGTGGCATGTGGGGACAATGGGAGAACCAGTCTGAAGACAAAATTTACACAGCAGAGCTGAGATCTGACTGAGCTGTGCCTGAAGGCTGCCCTCTCTCACTTGATTACTGAGGAAAGGTCCACATGCATTTCCTGTTATTAGTACTATCAAAAGCATCCAACACGTAAGAATACCTTCCTGGCTGAAAATTGCATAATTGATCATGCATCTCAGCTTATCTTTTTGCCCTGGCCAAAGGCAAAAACAAAAGATAATTTGTCATCCAATATTTTAGGTATGATTTTATAGATTTTCATTAAGAAAAGACTTAAATACCCTTTGGTATCATTTCAACAGATACCAAAAAATATAACAAAATAAAAACTTGTAAATTAAGTAAGTAAAGTGATTAAACATTGAGATTATAGATGAAAATCACTGAACACCCTTAAAGAGTACCTGTAAAGCAGTAGATTCTTCTGTGGCTTAAAATATACATCTCTCTCTCTCTGTCTCTTTCTCTCTCTCACACGCACGCACGCACACACACACACACACACACACAGAAAGTTGGTATTTTATTTCTTTACATGTGAGTGTTCAGTTGACAGCCCATGGCCCAAATAAAGACCATATTTGTTTGTTTATTTGCAGTCAATATTTGAACAGATACATTATAAAATACTTGCTGCTTGATGTGGCAAAAATGAGCCAGAGATGAAGAATACCTAGTCACTTTAGGCCACCAATGAGTTCTCAGTTTTGATTACCTTAGACATGGTCCAGTTCACTCACTTTATACCTTGTCGCTGTAAGATGTTTAGATTTGTGACCTTTGAGTTTTGTTACTAAGGTTTGTATAGCTAAGTACAGCCTTATTTGATATACAGGGAGAAAAAAAAAACTGACAGAAATCTAAAAAGAACAGCACAAAAGTAATTAACTATTTCAGATAAGTAAAAGCCTTAAACAAGCCCTTTCATATCCTTGGTGATAAGAGCCTTAACTACCAAATTGGCGCATATCTTACCTGTAGGTCTTTTTCTTCTATCTTCTTTTTGAGCACTTTAAGGCACTTGGTAAAGTCAGTGAGGTCCTGATCTGGAGTTGAAATAAGCTCACACCCCTAATGAATTGAAGAAAGAGAAATGTAAGAATCAGTAAAGTCTTTAGCCTCATAAACAAGAGCCAGAGCTGTACCATGGGCATCAGCAGACATTATGTATGATTTCTCTGTAATCATAATCATTATCATCATCTTTTTATTTCCCAGGAATGGGGTTAATATACTACAACATTCCAATTACACTAATGTAGCATAACCTGTGCTCTTCTTGGAGAGAATGATTGTTCCAAGAAGGGTACAGGTCATATAACATAAATAGTCTTGAAAAACACTGATGTGATGACATTCAAGATTGAAAGAATGACTTTGTACAAGTATAATAAATTATATGCATAGTGAAATTACATGAAATTAAAATGAAAGCATTTCTAAGAAAGTCTTTAGGGAATCTCATAAGTTTACTTACATGGATGGAAGACAAATTTTGAAAAAAAAAAGTAATGATTAAATTTTACATTTTAAATAAAATTAAATTAGCTGTCCTGTTTACTTTCTTGATGGCCCAGTTTACCCCCGTGTGAAAAGCAGCACAAAGAGCTGTGCTGGCATAAATGCCTCTTGGATTCCCTTTCAAACATAATGAAGTGAATTTATAAGATTTTTGCCTTCTCTACAACAGACACCTTACCTGCTGAAAAGCACTAAAATATAGTTACAAATATAAAGCCATCAAGTGCCAGTTCATTGGCACTAGTCAACTTACATGGCCAAAGAAATCATTTTTGAAATGACACCTTCTTTCCCACTGTTGCACGGGGGCAAAGAGGTAAAACCAGAGCACTATGGGACATCTGACTTCTTAATTCAGAAGTAAAACAATTCCTGGACTCTGACAAACAGCTGAGTAAGGGAAAGTTAAATATAATCTAGTCTATAAAGTTGCCATTCAAAGAGTTCTCAAGGATACAAAACATTCGTACTGCCTCTTAAATTATTCTAAGGACCATTCTCGGTAGATTTAAAGGTTCTTCTGTTACCTCAAGGTCTCTTTAAATGCATCAAGCTCAACCTGTGCTTCACTCATTTATGACTGTCCTACAATGTAGTGACCAATGAAAAACTTAATTCCTCATCATTCAGAAATATATTACGCTCTAAAAGATGTATATGTCATCTTTACAAGATCATTGACATATACTTTCCTGACCCTAAGAGAACATTGCAATTCACTATAATTGCTTAGGCAAGGGTATAAAGAAGCGACTAATCACAGGCTAACATTTCTAGGAAAGATCTAAGCATATGCCACAGCATATAGGAATATTATCAGGGCTGAAGAGATTAGACTATCACCAAATCAGACATGGTCAAACTGAAAGTTCCCTGAGGGCAGAAACTTGGTTGCATTTGTTAGTGTTTCTACTTCCTGGCATTGTTCTGCTACATAGTAACTGTTCAATAAATCTTTAAATAACCTTTCTTAAATAATAGATATGTAGCCTATTAAATATAGTGAACGTACACCGGCAAGGGGCTAGGACAACACAGCATCTTATTATAAAATATAGCATTTATGACAATGAAAACCCATCTTTCTCTTTTAATGCTGATAGTAGAAACAATAAGAGGAAATAAAACTTAACAGGCAAATAGAAATAGCAACAGATGATTAATAGATCCCTGTCTGCCTCACAGTTGCCTTCACAGAATCATCAGAGAGCACTATGGGGAAAATGACACTTGAACAGAACCCAAGAAATTACCTAGCACCACAGCGATGCTACAGATTAAGAAAATAAAACAAGGGAAAACCATTGACTTGATGACAACTGGTCAACAAGGCAGCAATCAACAACAGTGAGGGGAGAGAAAATGGCCATCTTCACTCCCAGGAAGGGGGAACGAATTCTTACAAATGGATGTTTTGTGACATTTCTAGAATTGGTCCCATGAGGACGACACTTCCAAAAAAAAAAAAAAAAAAGCCACTAAAAACATGTAAACAAGAGTGGAATATCTTACTTTACCTCATTACTTGAAATGGACCCAGAGAAAAGCCCAGGTCAGGCCAAGGAGAAGAATAACTAATACTGAAAACTTCAGGACTCATCTACATCAAGAACATCTATACTCTAGCTGGGGCCTCGGACAGCCTTCCATAGCTTCTTGGGATTTTCACGAGTTTAAACGATTCTAACCTCAACAGAGATTGAGATTGAATTCACTGGAAGTGGAAAAAGTTCCAAAGGGTCTCAACGGGCAGCTTTCAACACTTAGGAGGCCTGCAAAACAAAATACGCCTCCCAGTGCAATCACAAACAGGCCTCTGGCCAAACAGAAATGTTTTCACTGCTTCCTGGGTCCTAAGGTAACCCATCAGATGTGACAGGAGAAACAGGAGGCTGCAGACGAGAAACACCAAGTTGCTGCAGAGAGAGAGACACGGAGAAACGCCATCAAGGACCAGGCAATGCCCACCTACGTGTCACACATTAATATTGATTTACAATTACTTATTAGATAGAATAAAACTAAACATCACTGTGGCATTGAGATTTTTCCAGTGAAAAATCTTGGTATTTAAAAAACTTGATATTAAAAAAAAAACAAAAAACTCTTTACATTCACCATTCAAATACCCAGAAAATACTGAAGTCAGGAGATCTGGTCACTAAGGAAAGTACCAGACTTTCTAATAAATAGTTTGTAATATTAGCTTCCTAATTAAAAAACACGGTTTATCTCAAAATATACAGAATTCTATAATATATATATATATATATATATAAAATTTTCCAAAAGCATAAAATATAAAACTCCAACCTTCTCATACCAAGGTTTGCGTGTAAACCTTTGCTTTAATCAGTACTTTGATTTTTTTTTTTTTTTTTTTTTTTTAGTTGCGTGAAACATTTTTTAGGACACAGAGAATTATTTTAGGAGCCACCAGGTGGCTCCAATTTCTTTCTATATGCATGCAGTTTTTGTCAATATACAAGTACAGTTTTAAATAACTCAAATCTAATAACACACTCCTTTGATGAGTACACCATTTTTCAAGATGGATTATTAATTTTAGTACTTCATTTTATTAATCTAGGTTCATAATGAATTAGTAAGATTTGGACTGATGTCAAAAAATTCAGCATATGTTAATATCAAGGTTATTCTGTTTTTGTTCTAACCTTTAAAAATATCTTAAAGTAAGGAACAACAATGCCATCCCCAACCCTCCACTCCCAATATGCTTTCAAAAACATACACACTTTAAAGGAAAAGCAGGAAGAACAGAGAAAGTTAAAATGACAACTTTAAAATTCTGTTCCAGTATGTTGAATTGACTATAGTCTGCTTTATCAGACCGCTCTTACCCCACAAATCTAAATCAGGAAAAGCCATATATAGTTATAAAGAAACTACCAGAGGTCCAACCAATATTTTTAAGGGCTTATTATTATGTTTGCTGCTTTATTGAATAATACTGTATACAGAAGAGGTAGGCATCCGCCAGTAGAAAAGGGAAGTGAATATCATAATACTACATGTAAAATACATAATACATATAAAATACAAATATATTTATATGTTCATCTGTAAAACAGACAGATGCAGGTTCCTTTTCTTCCTCTTCTCATACTGAGAAATTCTTAGCAAACACCCACATCCAGTAAGTGATTGAAAGAAGGTCAGTCTTCAATTCATCCCTGAATTGTTCCCTTTCTTTTGGCCAGCAGGGTAGGCATTTGAAATTCCATTTGGACTTTGGGATCCAGCTACATTCCTTAAAAACAGAGCTTTATTGGGAAACCCTGTACTTGGGAATAAGTACGCCACTATCAATACTGAAGCAGTCGGCACCTATCCTTGGGTCTGTTCAGTTAGACAGACTGCAAAGGGAGATAGCTCATCATGGCACCAGAAGGTGAAAGGCCACATTGAAAAATAACTTATAAAAAGTATCTCAGGTTTACTCATCATTTTATGATTCATACATATCTAAGGATATAATTAGTTTTCAAGCAAAAGAAATCACTTAGCTTATTTCAAAATATACAGACATCTTCCAAAAGCATAAAATATAAAACTCCAATCTTCTCATACCAAGGTTTGAGTGGAAACCTTTGCTTTAATCAGTATTTTGATTTTTTTTTAGTTGCATGAAACATTGTTTAGGACATGTTTTTTAATTAGGAAACTAATTATTGACCATTCACTATTATTTAGTCATGATGTATACATGAAAAGAGTATCAAAGACTCCCAGGGTTGGAAAAGCAATAAATGTCATCAAATCAACAAAAGTTTCAAGAAATTTGAAAAGATGCTCATGAAATTAATATGAAGGAATAAAGGATCAAGAAAAGCATAGGCAATTTGGCTCAAAGGAGGTGGCTGAACTCGCCTTTCTGGGTATTCAGGTTTAAAGAGCTGTTGTAACTAACAAAAATGGAATGGGCAAAATGAAACACTGGAAGATCAGCACCACAAGGGCAGAGAGGCATGCCGGCATCGAGGAAAGCTGTCTTCCAGGAACCACTCGGTGACTGGCACCCCATAAGCACACCATACACAGCTGTTGAACAAGTAGCTGAACAAGAAGACAGAAACAGACTCATACATATTGGAAACTTAATAGCAAAGTCTAAAACCATTCATAAGAAAATAAAGTAGAAAATGACCGGACCTAGATGTAGTACAGGTCATTTCTTAAATAAGATAGGAAAAAAATTAACAAAGCCTACTACTTTATATTAGGAACTTGTTCACCAAAAAGCAACACGAATAAAGCAAAAACAAGTAAATTTTACAATGAAAGAAGATACTTCCTACACACATAAGTAAAAGAGTGTTACTATCCAAAATATATAAAGAACTCCTAAGAATGTGTAATGAATAAATAATTGGTTGAAACATAAGCAGAGTATTTTAATAGGCAAATTATAGAAAGGTAAACCTGAAAAAGCCAATGACCATGAAAAGCTGTTGATTTTTTTACTCATAATCATAACAATGAAAATAAAAAATAAAATTGGCATACATGTCACACACCTCACTAATAAC